TAATAGAATTTGTGAGCAATAATATATGAGTCTGTGGTGTTGACAAAGTCAACTTTGGCGGCCTGTTCAATGTTGGCATTTTGTCTTCATAGAGACCTCGATTATTGAAAGAAAGGAGCTCTTTCTAGGAAGGGCCCCTCAAGGGGTCCAACATGTTTTATAACAAGGGGAGGAATGGTGGGAGGTTATCAATGGAAGAGTGGGTGTGGAAGCTTCCCTCAGACCTCCCCAAGCCTCAGGGAAGCCACTCTGGCTCTCCAACATACGTTTTTACAGGGATTGTGCAGTTCTAAGTGAGGAGGCACCGTTATTTCAGTTGACTCTTGCTTATTCATCTATCACCTACTAAACACTTGTGAGAGTAAGCCTTGAATCAGTCTGCATGCATTTCTTTTGCAAAATAATGTTTATAGTCTTTCCAATCATAAGAGAAAAGAAAAATTCAGTATGTACATTTACAAAGAATATAGAAAAATATAAGGGGAAAAAATCACATAAGTATCACTTTTTTCCCTTCCAATTCTTTTTCTAAATATATATTTATATATATTTTTAAGAAAATTTAAAAAAAGAAAAAGAAAATTTATATCATACTTTATATTCTGTGTAGTATCTTGCTCCATTAATGTATCATTTCACACTACTAAATATTTTAAATTAAAAAATTTTATTATATAAATCTACCACAATTTGTTCATTCTAATATTAAAGATTATTGAGTGTTTTCCAAATTTTTCTATATTAAAAACTCTTGTTTATTTTTTAAAAATTAAATCTAAATGCCACTGGTATTTCACCATCATTCGTAATATTAGCTGTTTTTAAGATGCACATTCTTTATCCTATGGAGAGCATCCCACATCTTGCTATTCCTTGTTTACTAATAATCTGAATGTCAGAAATGGGTCTTGAGTACTTCAGAATGACAGTCTGCATCCTTCCAGTTTCTTAGTCTGAAAGTTTAACATTGTGTGTACCCCTTTTTTCTTTTGAACCCTCACACCAGTCATGAGGAAACCTCATCAGCACGTACTTCCTCAGCGCGTGCTTCCTCATACACACAGAATCTGACCACTTGCTCCCCTGCCTCTCATCTAGGTTAAGGCAGCAGCCTCTTGACCTCACTGTTTCCACCTTTGCCAGACTACATTTTGTTCTCTATCACTGTAGCCAGACTTACCCTTTCAAGATAATTCAGACCATCCATATCTTTTGCTCACAGTCTTCTTTAGGATTTCCATCTCATTCCTTAGTCTACAAGGCTCTGTCTTCTTTGCATCTATTACTTGCATTTGAGCAGATCTATCACTCTCCTCTTGCACATCCACTCAAACCATCTTGGATTCCCTGCTGTTTTCAGTTCACCAGGCTGAGTACTGCCTCAGGGCCTTTGCATGTGCTGTTAATGCTGCCTGGAATGCTTCCCCCTTCGTATTCACATAGCTGGCTTTCTCATCTTCCTCAGGATTCTGCTCAAATGTTACCTCAGTGCAGCCTTCTCTTATCATTCTACTTAAAATGGTAGTTTCTATCACCCTTCCTGCTTGATTTTTTCCTATGACTTTTATCATCACCTAACATATTTTTTTTCTTTGTGTCTGTATCCTGCCTGTCTTTCTCCCATCAGCATGGAAGCTCCACAAGGGCACCCACCACACCTGTGATAGTACCTGGCACAGAGACATTCAACTGATTTCAACTGAACTCACATGTTTGGTGAATGAATGACTTTTTTAAAAATGGGAGTGAAGTTACTAATGTGATGTATTATAGGACTATATTTCATAATATTAAACCACCTTTGTACTTCTAGGATAAACTCTTTTTTGTCATACTGAATGACTCTTTGAAAGTATTTTTGCGATTACATTTGCTTGGATTTTTCTAATCTATGTGCATAAATGATGCCTGTATTATGATTTTCTTGGGGTTTTTTTGAGGGTTTGATATCAAAGTCATCTTAGTTTCATCAGATGAAGTAGACAACTTTCCATTATTTCTAAAATGGCACCCGGCGTGTGTATCATGGCAGTTTTCTATTTGTTGAAAGTATGAAAGACTGTACTGTAGAATAGGAAAGCCCTGATGCTTTTTTGTGGGTACTTTTTTTACATTTTCCCATTTCTTTATGATTAATGATATATTTACATTTTAGATTTTTCCAGGATTTACATGTTTCCAGAAAAAATTACTTCATAGGAATGTTTTAATTTGTAATTATAAAATGGTTTTTTGTTATTACCTTGTATTTTAAATGTCTCTCTATCTTGTGTTATATTCTTATTTTATTATCAGTTTTCTTTAAATATTTTTATTCCTCCTTTGTCCCTGTGAGATCTTTCAGAGGCTTCTCTATCTCATTTTTGAGAAGATAGAGAAATAAAGATTTTGAGAAGATAACAAAATAAAGATTGTTAAATTAAAATTATTTTAATTCTGTGACCATTAACCTAACAAATCGTAGCAATCTACTTAAAATTCAAACATAGCAATAACCATTTTTCTAAATAGGGAGCATATATACTATTCTATACAATCCACATGAATGTATAAAATATTGATCATTTAATAAAACAGTACCAATTCTGCTCTTCTTGTTTGTATTCCCTGTAGTCTAAACCATATAGATTCATGTGGATCTCCTTGCAGATGTGTGAAGCCACTTGTCACTTTTACTTTTTTTCTCATCTCAGTTTCTGGCCTTGAGATCTGGTATTGAAGTTTTTTCTCCTTTCTTTCCAGATTTCCTCCTAGGTCTTTTCTAATCCTCTATTTCCCACTCTTCCCCTTTTGCTCCCCACCTCCCTTCCCACTGATTTCATCTAGGCCCATTTTTTTCTTCTCCTTTTCCTTCAGGCCGCCCAATGACATATTTTAACTCCTAATTCTAGCCATCAGTATCTTGACTAGCAGAGTTTACCTTATTAGAAGTTGTTTTTGAAACCTGGGCTTCTGGGAAAGCATTGTGGTGCCTTTGAAATTAACATGGTCTTGAGTGCCAACTTAGTTCAAAGCCCGTCCTAAAGACTAAGTGAGGAGGCACTATGATGTGTCTTCTAGATGATAAGCCATAACCCTTTGGAGTCCTTATCACTAGCCTTCTGCCCTCCAACTCCCCCTCCCTGTCCCATCACCACTTCCCCTTCCTCTGGGAGTGAGCCCTCTTAAGCTCTAAAATATCGATAGTATCATTGAAGGTCATCAACTGTCAAGCCCTCATTTGCCTGTTGGAACTTATTATCTGCAGCCCCTCTGGATGTGTGAGACCGTAAGGAAAGTGGATTTTACCATATCTTTGCTGTTTCTGTTAGCTAGAGTTTATCTCTTTCCTCAGAACTATAGTTCTTTTACTTATATTTCTATTGTTGAACTTACCACGGTCTACCTTGTGTCTTTTTTATGTCTTTCTCCTTGACTAAATGTTATTTTAATAAGCATCTCACCTCTTCTTCTTTTAATCCCCATGGAGTTTTGAAAAATGGGATCATCCAGTAGAAGTTTTTCAGCTGGGCTGCATGTTATACCAAACAGAATGCCTTACTAGTTGGGGTTGTCAAGAACTGTCATTTAGGGCTGCAAAATCAAGGGAGATATTTACGAGCAGAGAAATATAGGAGAGTAGGGTTGGAGGGAGTAGCAGGCCATGGAAATACATACCAGAGCCTGGAGGGATCTTTTCTTTTCCGGCACAAGGTGGCAGACTATGCCCATTTCAATCACTGCGTATAAGGCAGCTTTGTTAGGCTGAGATTTTCTGCCCTTTTTTGGAAATGCATTTTTACTTACAAAAAAAAAAGAAAAAGAAAAAGAAAGAAAGGAAAAAGGAAGCGAGTCGGCTCAATGGCTGAAACCTGAGTTCGGCTAAAGCACAGACCCTCTCTGCAGGGCAGCGGGTGTTTCCAGGTCCCCACTCCTTCCAGTTTGGACTCGCCCCTCCGTGTCTGCATCTCAGAGTAATGCATGGCAGATTTTGAAACATTGACTTTCCTTTAAAGGATAAGAAAATTTGAATAAATATGCATGAACACTCAAGCTGGGACAGAGGAAATAAATCTGACTAGAAAATAGAACCGCAGTTTCTCCACTAGAGAGCAGACCAGGACAGATGGGCTTTGGAGGGTCCTGCTGTCATTAACCAAAGAAAGCATTCATTTTCTTTAGCAGCTCATTTCCCCCCCCTTTAAAATGCCAAGTGTTTTTCATGTGTTCAGACCATTCACATGTGTAAACGTGATATAATCTGGGATATAAGGAGTAGATTGATTTCAATTCATTTATGTGCAAATTAAATTCCGATGTTAATTTTTTCCACTTCATTAATTGCTTCTAGTTGTGTGCATGCATGCACCAAATTATCTTTTATAAATAAAAATCAAATTACCAGGAATTCTGATGGTGACTGATTTACTAGGTGATATGTTAAGTCTTTCCATTGAAACTGAATTTTTTTATACTTGGAAGATGGAGAATAAATTAAGCAAACAAGATAACCCTTGTTTTCAGGTTCACTTAGCATTTATTTCAGGCTCCCTTTCTCTTTGAGTGGAAGGAGGTAGGACTGAGAAAAGCGATAACAGCGATTTGTTTCTGGAAGTTAAGTCTGCCTTATAAGAAGTTGCTTATGTGCAACATGGGGAAGAGTCTGAAGCAGGATGCCTGTCAGAGCAGAGGGACTTCAGAGGGTAAAGGAAGTGCTGGCCAAGGCTCTAGAGGGGGTGAGGGATGCTTTCCAGCTTTATTCAGCAGGCTAATTTCACAGCACTGCCTTTGACAGACACAGAACTAATCTGGTCACTTCTGAAATTAAGCACCACAGATGACAGAGCTTTCTTATTGATCATTTATTACAGATTACTATATGAGATGTTTGTTTTCATGTCTACAAAGCAACAACAAAGGAAGTTGGACATTCACAAACTATTTTTAAATGACACCTATTCGGATGTTTCCTATTCCATAGATCCTTAGTAAATTTTTTCTTTAAAAAAGGTGGCATAACTTCAAATAGATTTGATAACGCATCGTAACTTTGGATAGAATTCTATACTATGACCACTAAAGTAGCAACAGTCCTCCCCCGGAGGTTTACTCAATTCCCTGCTCTCTCAGTCTTCACCTGGTCTGCTCTCAGATGGCTCTCCTTCACCGCAGCTCCCGGGTGTCCAGGCATTCGAACCTTCCTCCTGCTGGGAATTACTGGTGAACTAGTCACCGTCACTCTCACTCGAGCTGCCACTGTCAGAGGACTCACTGCTGTCGTGGTTTTTAGGGGGCCTAAACCTCCTGTGGGCATGGGGCTTTCTGTAGCCCCAGGAGCCTTTCCTTCGTGGTGCAGAGTTATTTTGTCTGTGGGCTGGATACTGATTTTTCCCGCTGTGTGTCGTTATAGTCCTCTCGTTATTGGGGCCACTGTGGAAACCTATTTCATTTTTAATTTCATTGTCCAGACCATGAGAAGGAGTGAGCCGGCTCGGACTTTTGCCCTTACTTGGAAATCTTTGATTTTCATTTGAGGTCACTTGATTCCTGTTAAAATATTCTGTACCTTTTCTACTACTCCCTTTGCCGTTTTTTGGAATTTCATTATGATTAGTACTTACAGCTACATCACTACTGCCTTCTTTTCTCTTCTCTTTTGAGGGCACATGAGGGTAATGAAACTCTATTTTCCCTTGGTGAGCATTCTGGCTGCCTGCGTCCACTCTGTTTCCTTCTTTTCCAGGGAGTTCCTTAAAATTAGTGCTGCCTATGATGTCATTGCTGCCCTCCACGAGGCTTACACCAGCGGTACTTGCCTCTTGTCCTGTTTCATCCCTGGCTCCAATGGCATTTCTGCCACTTTCTGCTTTTTCTGGGATGTCATTATAATCCGGGCTTCCTGCTTCAGGGTTAATAGTCTCAGCTTCACCGGGGCCAGAAAACTCTGTCTGAATACCTGCACCTTCTAAGTCAGGGTCAATAGCTTCTCCTTTACCGGAAACGTCCTTAAAAGGTTGGCCATCTCCACTGAAAGGAGGGATGTCGTTTTCCCCCTTCTCTTGAACATCTGGATAGCCACTGCCTCCAAAATCACTGGGGATGTTTTTGAGTTTTGGGAACTGTTTTAGATGGTCAGTCTTGTGGTGGATATGGTGGGTACTTTTGCTTTTTACTGAAATATTTGTGGCTTGTGGATCTCTTTGATAATTCTTCTTACTTTTTGAGAGACCCTTAGCATCGTGCACACTTGCTGGGATTTTGCTTTCAATATTTGTGGGTTTGATCTCTTTGTTTTCTTCCCCCAACCGTTTAATCACAGCTTCTGGCTCCATTATATGTCGCATATTATTTCTGCCGGGAGCTGCACCGTATTCTTCTTGGTCATGCAGTTCACTGACAACGTTGTCTCCATCCTCAGGCCTATTATTCCCAGTGGATTCAGGGTAAATGGGCATCTTTAGGTTATTGCCAGCATTTTCATTGTCACTAATACTATAGTCTTCATTCATTGTCTGTCTATTTTCAAAAGGATTTGGGGGTTTACTAATCTGGTTATTTTTATTGATTCCAAGAAGGAACAAATCTTTCTCTCTTTCTTGCACAATGTTTTCTTTAGATGATGGCTCTTGATTTCTTCTCTTGCCAGAATGGTGAAGAGTGGTATTGTCTTTGTTTTTTCCTTCCTGCTAAAGTATAATTTTTAACATAGATTATTTTATTTTACATTTTTAAAATCTAAAAATTCTTAGCATATATATATATATAATATATATATATATATATATATATATATATATTTATACCTCACAACCAGATACTTAATAAAAAGATTCTATTAACTCAGTAGAGGTTTACTAGTAGAGCTAATTCTGGAATGACCCAAGCATGTTTTAAGAAGAAAGAAGAATAAACAAGGTTTGAAGGATGGGTAAGATTCAGATACCTCAAAGGAAAGTGGTGAGAATATTTTAAGAATAAGCAGTATATTAAAATGTTTAGAAACATGAAACACTTGAAAGATAATATAAATAAAATTATAAGTTTGGAATTGAAAAATCCTGAAGAAGAGAATAAGAAATAAATTTGGAAATGTAGATTAGGGTCTGATTTTTGAAGGCAGACAGAGTGTGGTCCTCATCTTGTGACTAGTGAGTCATTGCCAGTGACTTGGAGTTCATGTTTTTAAAAGTGTTTTATCTTACATTTCCATGTTCATTTCTTTCTCCATGTCTGTCTCTCTTTCTTTCTCTCTCAAATATAATACTGTCTTACTTGGAAGCCTGCCTGTTTTTATATATGTATCTTAGTAATGTTAGAAGCAGTGAGGAAATTGTTGAGTCTTCTCACACTTGACTTTCAAGATGAAGTTGGTTTATGGAAGTGCCCTCTACCCTTATGAAGCTGGCTAATATACAACATGCAAAAGTTGCTACTTATAGTATTTTTAAGCAGTAATTCAAAATGATTTATTTGTGGGAGTTATGACATCATTATTTACTAATCCTTTATTTGGCAGGTATATTCTGAAAATAAGATTTTGCAACGGGAAAAAATAAAACAGAAAAAAACTTTATAGTGGGATATTTCTAGAAGTATTTTAAACATTTGATTTATTTTAAGACATTAAATTCTGGCAAGTCATACACGAACATTTATATTTTCCTTTGCAATCAAGTTCATTTGCTTACTGCTACTATACTCTTTTGAGTTAAATAGGTGCATTAGAAAATGAGTAGATTATAATAATTTCTTATTAATTTGTTCCCTCTGTACTCTGAAGTGGGAAGTTTTGTTTTATATATGATGCTTTTACTGCTTCTAAAACAGCATAAATACTAATGAATTGTGAGAATTTTACTAAAGACCAAATAGAGTTCTTTTATAAATGAGAACATTAAAAAACCTTTTAAATTGTGGTATGTGGTGGTCACTTATTTTTGCATTTGCTCACGTTCAGTGATTACCAACTGCAATGTTGATGGTGTGATCACAGATCAGTTGGCTGGTCTGATTTCCTCTGCTCTGCTTTTCTGTGTTCACGCCTTCACTCATGTTATTCTTTTCATGGAGAATAGCCTCTCCCACCCACATGTTTGGTCAAATCCCTCATCTTCTGAGACTCAGCTCAATCATTTCCATTATGCAGTTTCCCCCAAACACTGGGCTAGAAACGAATCTTTTTTACTCCAGGCTCTACAGCGTGATATTTGGAGTGCCACTCACACAGCACTTTGCACATCTGTATTGGGTTCATGGTTTTTGTAAGTGCCATTTGTTTCTTTCAACTTTTTTCTTTTATAATTCTAACATTCTGGAGGGAAAGAATTAAATTTTCTCAGCCATTTTATCTCAGATGGCATCTTGCACAGTTGGAAGAGCTCAATACATATTTGTTACAACAAGTAAGTTTAACAGGCAGTTAGTCTTAGAGATGCATCTGAAGAATACTGAGCAGAGCAAAACAATATTCTAAAGGGGAACTATAACTTTCATGGGAAATGAAGCCAGATTTGGAAAAAGAAGTAGTCCTTTTTGCTGACGGTATTTTAAGCTGTGTCCAGCTCTTTGGCCAATGAATTTTAAAGAAGGGACTGAGTGAAAAGAATCATTGTTCCCTTCTAGTGACAAGGCCCTCATTCTTTCCCCTCTGAGTATCCTGACACAGATGGCGTCCACCGTGGAATAATTTAAGGGACACTAAAATGTGTCACTCTTTAGGCCAAAATGACTTCTAATCCTCACTATTGAAGTATGTGGTAGACTACGTCTAGAAAACCTCCTTATGAAAAAACCCATTAATCGGAAGCAATAAAAAAAACCTCATGGACATCTAGAGTCCACCAGTCCCACACCTGCCTCAACAGGTCCTGAAGTTGGGCAAGACGTGGGCCGGGGCGTGGAGTGGCCCACCTGTGCCAGGAAGGCTCGGGAACAGAGAGGCTTGAGGATCCTGGGATGTGGGAAGAGGACGAAGGCACCAGCCACAGGCAGAAACCCCAGAGAAGGAAAAAGGAAACTGTCTCCCATATAACTTCCCCTGGCATTAGTCCAGAGTTTGACTCAGGGTAAGGATCATCACTCAGAGATTCAGCTTACCTTCACGTTAGTTTGATTTTTCCTCCCAGATGATGTGTAACCACACTTAATATAATACCCATGTTTCTCATGGTGACCCTTGTACGTTATCTACAAAAATACAACATTACATTAAGATGAGATTATCTCTCACTAAGAAGTTTCCTGTTCTCTTTTTGACAGTACAGATTATTTTTAAACTTGGAAGTCTAATTCTCCATTTAGCAAATAGCAGTACTTCCTATAACCACAGGAGGGCGCGTGTCAACCAATCCCTGAAGATAGTAACTTGTTTCTTTTTTTTCTATCTCTAAATCAGTTTTCCCTAAGTATGACTATCAATTGCTCTCTTTTCCAGGCTGTATCAATTTGATTGCCAAATTTCAATAGAAATGGATCATTTGGAAATATTTCCATGTAGGAGGAGGCAGGGGCATTAGAAGAAAGGCAGATTTTACAGTATAAATGTCTGATGTCAAAATGGCAAAACTCACAGCATGAGAAAATTCAGGCCCTTACATTTTTAGTTTTTGCCTTTGTAATTTTCAGCTGAGACAGAGGACAGAGGATTGTTAGTTCTTGGCACAGAATTTTCTGAGGCAGCCAGAACAAATCATGGCAGGCAGAAGTAAGCTGCAATTTGGTGACCCGAAAAGCTGAGGGAACTTGTTTAAAACTTGATGCGTGTGGAAAACTGACTCCATGTAAACAGAACTCCCCACTAAGACTTATTAATGTTCTTCCCTTTGTTTTCCCCTCATGTATTGTTTTGTTCTCATGTATCTGCGTAGAAAAATAGTTTGCTAATAATAATAGCCCCAAATTTTTACTCACTTACTCCTTTGAAGGAAGAAATCATAGTAAAGGGAAATCTCCATTCAGAATGCTTTTCTCCTTTCTGTCACACACTGTATAAACTAGAGTGTCAAAATTTTGTTGTATAATTTTGTATTTCCATTCTAAGAATATTTGGATAGTTAAAATTTCCCCCTGACTGACTTTTTCCTTTACAGAGTTAAAATGGATTTATTTGAGAAGAATAATTCTGTTTACCCTCTGTTCTTCCACACAGTCTTGCTTAGTTTTCCCAGCCTGTGGTTGAACCATCTGAAAGGAAACAAGAAATAAAACTTCACCAAACATGCATTCTTTCATTTAATTCTTCAAACAGCAAGTCTTTTATTTTTGTCCCATTGGGTTACACTACTCAGTGTGGAAAGTCATCCTGACAGGGAGGATGGACGCCCTGCCACAGAAACACTTGTTCCAGTCCTACAGGAGGTGCCCCCTCCTCCCCCAAGGGAAACACCATCCACCCCCATTACCAAACCCCATTCAAGCCTGGAGAAACTGCCAGGCTGGGGAGGTGTGGGGCTCCATGTGAAAATGCTTGGCTGTCACTGGTATCTATTGAGAAAGAAGTTTTCACCAGAATACTGGGTGTTGTTTAGTCAGTGAACCCCAATCAGAGTTCGGTGATTTGGACTTTATGTGTATTAACTGTATAAGTTCAGTACTTGCTGTGTAAGTTGAGATAAGATGCTGCTGATTATCCTGCAAGAGTAAAACCATAGCTCTGCATGTAAGGGGAAGCACCACACCTAAGGATGGGACTTTATTGTTGCCAGAAACCTTGGCAGGTGTTTCTTTCAGGAAAATGGAGTGGCTTGTAAATTGGTACAAATACTTCTCTTGATCTGACATGAAAGTGTCAGAATATCTTGAGTGTACCTGGGGACAAGAGGTAGAGAGAGGCCAGAAACTAAAAAGATGAAGACCCAGACATCTTGTTCCAGACTCTTAGGCTAAAACGTAGGCATCACAGGAGCACATGCAGAGAAGGGCCTGAGAACGCTTCAGCAAGCTTGCCGTGGAAGCAACAGATGCACCAATTCTTTTATTCTCAGGTTTTTAAAAAATTTCCTTATTTATTTTTGAAACTCCTAGGTTATCTTAGATGTGGCAAGAGGAACTGATGGATAGGCTGGTTTGTGTCTGAATGCCTGTGCTAAAGTGGTGTGAGCTGTGTAGCAATAGATGAGCAATTATCCTGCTTACTTTCAGATTCCATATTTCTGCTTTTTCTGTGATGGTCCCCACAAACAATATTTCCTGAACTCCTTTGTTGTCTGGCTGCAGTCTGGGTTTGGCTAAAGGGAGACGGAGCCTGAGACTGAAGGGTAGAAGGAGAAGGAATCCAAGGTATGTCCTTCCAGGCTCTCTCAGTTCGGGGCTGCGTCTCTAGGGTTGGAGGCTTCTCCTTCCAGGTCCTAGTTCCTGCCGCTCCCGCCCCCAGCCCCACCCCAGGGCACTGAGAACCCCGCCCCCTTCTGTGTTCCTCCAGCCCAAGGCCTGGTACTGTCTTCAATCTTTGTGTGGCCTCACCACCCTTAATTTGCCCTTTCTGTTCATCTTGTGCTTTATAACCATTCTTCTATTGAACCCCCAGTCATGAATTTTGTTGTCCTGACTCTACCTGGACTGATGAAATCATCTTAGATATAATAAAGTCAGAACTTTAGTAGAAGTGCTCTGTTGGCTGGGCTCCAAGGCAGATCAGCCTAACATTCCATTCTATTCCAGAAACAAAAGTAGTTTGTTGGTCACAGATACAGAGAACTGGTGGTTGCCAGAGGGGAGTGGGGAGAGGGATGGGCAATATAGGTGAGGGGGATTAAGATGTACGAACTTCAAGTTATAAAATAAGTAAGTCACTAGGATGTAATGTACAGCCTAGGGAATATGATCAATAATATAGTATCATAATAACATTGTATGGTGACAGATGGTAACTAGACTTACCATACTGATCATTTTATAGTGTATAAAAATATACCATACTGATCATTTTATAGTGTATAAAAATATAGTGTATAAAAATACAGTGCTCATCACTATGTGGTGAGCCTGAAACTAATATAATATTGTATGTCAATTACAATTCAACTTTTAAAAGACAGAGAAGTACACATTAAAGACATAATGTGATATAACTTTATACTCATTGGATGGTGACCTAGAGGACACGGTAGTATGATACACGTTGGTGGTGAGAACGTTAAGATACTTAGTATTTGGGGAAGAAAATACAGCAACATCTATAAAAAATACATGTCCTCATCTACTCAAAGCTTCCATTCTGGGAAACCTATCTGTTATACACATTAAAGGACAAATCTTGCCATAAAAAGAAAAGTACAAATTTATATGAAAAAAGTGTTTGTCAATGATACCTTATATTTATATACCACTTTACAGTGTAAATTGCTTTCATATAAATGATCTCATCTGATTCCTATAAATAATTCTGTGAAAAAGGAAGTAGAAGAAATAGAATTGCCTACAATTACCCAGCTAGTAGTAGTAGCCAAAGTAAAGGAGATATTTTGACTTAAATCTTCTGTCTCGAAGTCCCAGGATTAAAATAATTTTTTAATGGCCTGATATTTTAAAAAACATATTTAATAATAAGAGGTGATGTTTCTGTAGTTTATATTAAGTCCCTTGAGGCATATTTTATAATTTTATTTTTATTGCCTTTTTTATGTTGGTTCTTCTATGATCTTGTGCATGTAAATTTGGATCATTGCATCATTTCTAAAAAATATCAAAACAGTAAAAACATATCTGGGAAGGGGGCTACAGGAAAAATAAAACATAAAAATTAGATGGGTAGGTATTAACTTAAAAATAAATGACAGTTTGGGGAATTTGGCATCTTCTTGCAGAACATGACACATGTGCATGTATTAAAACATATTTGATAGTTTAGAGTACCTTAATATAGTTCACAATAAAAAAATCATGAACTTATGACCAAGTAACTTATAACAAAGTCTTTGCACTATAATTGCATATTGATGCATATTAATTAAATCTTATGGCCTAATAATCACCTTTTGTTTTTTCCTATTTCTAAATTTTGGTTTGGAAGGAAACCAGAAATGTTATTCCAAATATGCCTCTTGGCTGAAAGCATTTGAAGAGTTGTAAGCAGAATCGTTTCCTCCTCTTCTGCCTAAAGGCAGGAGATAAATTCTTCTTCTGGAGACAGACGCTCACCAATCCAGAGACCACACTAAAGGGATCTGCAAACAAACCTTGTTAAACTAACGCGGATCTTGTTATGTGAGGAAGAGCAGGAGTAAGATTACCCTCAGCCCAGAAGTTTTGTGTTGTTAATCCTTCACAAATCTATTGTTTCTTTGTCTAAAAGGTATAAAAGTTTCTGGCTCTGGTCGTTTCTTCAAGTTTTCATTCTCTTGCGAAGGACCCCATGCACATATAAAAATTCAGTAAAGCTTGTATGCTTTTTCCTGTTAACATATCTTGTCAGTTTAATTTTCAGACCCACCCAGGGACCCTAGGAGGGTTGAGGAAAACTTTTTTCTCCCCTATGGTTTGAATTTGCATTCTAGTTCCAAAACATATGTAAATAATACAATATATACCAATTTCTGATTCCAACAACCTATTATTAAAAATTTTAGATAATTGCTCAAATAGAACCTATATATCTAGGAGAAAATATCATATTTACCCATTTATAATTCCAAATTCTGTCTCTATGTCTTTGCAAGACCTCTTTCATTTGAAATATGCCCCCTTCCCTTTTCCCCCCTATCCACTTGCCAGTTCCCCTGGGCTTGACTGCGGCCCTGTACTGGAGATGACCTCATCTCCCTCTGCCGAGCAACACTGGCACCTGATTTTGACCAGTGGCCACTGGATTGAGGTTAACATAGCACATTTACTGGAAAATAGTTGAAGAGTTCCTCGGACCGTGTTGCTCAAAATAGATTCATCCTAGGCTGGTGGGATTGAGCTGTGTCAGCAAGACCTTCTCAGTGCCCATCGTGCCTGATCACATGACTCTGTGGCCCTGACTGAGCTAGGCCGTGGGATTTGTGCCTGGCTAATGTGTATTTTAAGCAGAATGGCCCCACAGGACTGAGGCTGTGAGCGAAGAGGGGACAAGCTTTCCTCAACTTCTGCTGTCCTCACCCAATGACATGGTTCATGCTTGTCAGTGGGTTACCCAACTGGTCACCCACTCACTCAGGACCTATATTTAAGTACTTCTGGCAACAGAGTAGCCACTCATTTCCATGGCTCTCCAACTGAAAAGGTTACTCTGGGAAGTTAGGATGCTTTCCAGACATTATGTAATTGGCAATGTAATTGTAATTGCGATTGCATTGCAGAAAATACCAGTAACACTCAGCATTTTCACAAGATAATTTAGTCACATCCTGAGGACTCATCTGGGTGAATCAGAGAGAAGAAGAGACACAAAGGGAAATTGGAGCTCTATTTGGGCTGAGCTTGGGGCACTTCCTCCCATCTTTAGTCTCACTAGTGAAGGGAAGCACACTACCAGGATCTCATGGTGTTAAGGTGTTGCAAGAAATACAGAAAAGTTTTGGTTCTTCTGTGTTGCCATGTATTTGCAAAATCTAGTTGGTTAGCCTTAAACAATTCAAGTCTTTTTTCTTTAGTTTTCAGTAGAATATTGAAAAGTTCTTTTGACATGTTGTAAGTTGAGTCTCTGAGCATTTACTCATTCATGTTAGAAGATTTAAAGCACTGCTGCTGGCTTTTGGTTTTCCCAAAAGTATTCTTTCTGGTTTTTCTTAAAAGGCAACATGTAGACATCTTGTAATTCAGCACATGTGTATTAAAGGCCTCCTTGGTGGCAGGCTTTGGTGTCAAATGCTAGATGTGTTCTTTTTGCTTGGTACTGCATTGTCACAGATCTAGGTTAAGTGCTACTAATGTGAAAAGATATTGCTGAAGAGAAAAACAGATGAAGAGAACAACAGAATTTACAACACATAACTAAAACCAGAAATGCTTACTGGTTCCGCCCAGGTCAGACAGAAAAGAAGTAGTCCCAAACAGATAATTTGCATCTTTGAGAATCTCTGTGAAAAGACAATATATATATTTTACCCTAAAACATTGCCAATTACAACGGAAACTCTAAGTATAAGTACAGCACAAAGTATACAAACACCATTCCCCCTACAAGTCCTTTTTTAAGGAAAAATAAAACCTCTTTGTAATTTACTTATATTCAAGTGTGGATACTTAAATGTAAGTGCTTTAATAGGTCTAACTATTCCAATATAAAACTGAAAATTGTCCAATGTTATTAAGGCAATGAAGTCAGTTAATAGAAATAAATTGTACAAACATTTATTTGCTTTACTGTCAGCCCAGACTTTTCCTTATTGTCTTTAGAAAGATCATTTACTTCATATAATTCATAATAACATTAAGTTAGAATAGCAGCTTATAAGATACTTTTTAAATGATTTGTCAGGGTAGCAGGCTCCACAGTGAGCAATATAATCTTGTCTGCTACCTGGCTGGTGCCCCAATCAGTGTACTCATAACATTAGCAATGTGTCTGACCCAGTGCCCATCCGCGGGCTGGAGAGTGGAACAACTTGTGTGATATTTATATTACTAGCTAACATGGGCTGAGTACTGAAATGAGCCAAGCATTGTTCTAAATATTTTACACATGTTCAATTAATTAATTAATTAATTAATTACTCTCATAGTAACTCTATGAGTTAGGTGGCATATCATTCCTATTTTATAGATTAGGAAATAGACACAGAAAGTCAAATAACTTGACCCAGAATTCCCAAGTATTAAGGGGCAGAACTGAAGTAAAGAACCTGGCAATGTAGGTAGAGAGCTAGTATGTTTTTAATCAAAACTTTATACTGCCTGGAACATTTCCATTCTTTTACTTATTACAGAAAAGTCTATATGTAGTTGATTTATGGGCAAATTATGTTCTACATTTGGATCAACAAAATTATATTTGAAACATTAACATTTAGCTGTGGATAAAGCTACATGTTTATGCTTTGCTAAATATATTAAGGGTCTCCAGTTAGTTCATTTAAGTGGCCATTAGATTGAGGAAAACAAGTCACCATAACCTTGGATTACGAATCTGTTGCTTTTGATAAACAGTATTTTACTAACCACCACACAGACATATAGCAACCAATATGAGAGTAAGAAAGTTACCCCACTCTGAGAATACTTGGGGGAAATCACTTTTAGTGGGGAAATCATCTGAATACTGTTGTAATCTTTAAACATCTCAAGGTAAAAACACTTTTATTTGGAGAAATAAATATAACTTTCAAATATCCTGAAATCCTAGGCTATTCTCTTCAAAATTAATACAATCTTAAGAAGCTTAATTCTAACTATAATGTGGCCATCCAAACATTTTAGACATCAGGACAACACAAGTCACTTTTTAAATGACTTAATGCTGAGAACTATCAGCAAAGACGATACCAGCACAAATGGGGTTTGAAAGTATGAACACGATGACGTTACCCTTGTTCTGGCTGCTAAGTGGAGGTACAGAGCAATATTAGAGCCTTTCAGTTGTGGACCTTGATGATGCTGATAGTCACATCAAAGAAAGATGGCCATCGCTTTTAGTTGACAATTTCTAGGGCTTAGTAACACACTTTCTATTTTATAAAACAAAGTAATAAGTATTACACAGTTGTGCTCAGTATAGAATACCTTCAATTTCTACTTATTTTTCAAAAGTAATCTCTCTACCTGATTGGCATGCATCCTCAAAATGTAAACAATTACATTATAAAGTTATCAAGAACATCAAGAAAGCCAATTTACCTGGTATCTTTTACCTCCAGAATACCTGGGTTCTTCCACAGGCTTAGCAGTTTCTGGGCATTTTGCTGAAATTTAAAGTTTGTTAGAGTCCCCAATGGCCAATCAGCACTGGCTCACTTAGCACTAGCAGAAACAATTTGTTACCAGTGCCCACAGATAACCATAGGGGGCAAAGTAATTTTAATCTAAAAATGTTTTTGTGGTGGAAAGCTGCTATCAAATGTTCCAGAAAGTGGGATAAACCAAAAATATAAACAGCTCAGTTTGGTATATCATGTTGTCAGATAATTAAAATTTATTTCAGAACTATTAATTTGGACTGACTGAATAACTAGCAAGTGTATACGTGGAAAATGCTTTAGCTATCCTTTATGTAGAAAGTTTATAATTTCAATTTTGTCTGAATTAAATTCAGCAACATTTAACAAAAGTATTGAGTGCCTGTTGTGTGACAGGCATTGAGGAACCAGTGAACAAAACAGAAAAATAATCTCTGTTTTTATGGAGTTTATAATTTGGTAGGGAGTCAGATAAGCGGAATAGATAACATATATTACAATAGACAGTCACACAGACTTAGTCCAAGAAGAAAAAACTTTGCAGGGAGGGAGTGTGGACCCTAGGTTAAAATTTTAGGCAGGGAGTCCTGGGAAGGGCTCATGGGAGAGCAACTATGAGTAAGGCTTGTAGACATATGACTATCCAAGGGAAGAGCATTCTAGGCAGATGGAAGCGGAAAAGGAGAGCCCAGAAGCAAGAGCCTGCTGGTTTGTTCCAGAAACAGAGAAGAGATCAGCTTGGCTGAAGGGACTGACAAGGGCAATAACAGGAATAAGGTCAGAAGGGCATCAGATGGCAGATGATGAAGGGCCCATGGGTCATTGCAAGGCTTGTGAGAAGGAAGCCCTTGGAGATTTTAGGCAGAGGACTAACTGAGGGAGTGAATGAGTAGAAAGAGGCAGAGGCTGGAAGCTCTTTAGGTATTCTGAGGAAGAGCTAGTTGGGACTTGAACCAGAGTGGTAGCAGAAGGGATGGGGAGAAGTGGTTGTATTTTGAATATATGTTGATAGCAAAGTGTCCTGAGCAACACTCTAACCTTATGAGTATCTGTGCTATAGCTTTTTCCATAAGCCAGCCTCCAGCCTTTGTCATGGACCAGAGGTGCTGGCCGCCTATTTGGCCACTGGCCCTACAGGTAACACCAGCATCAAGGAATAATGACAGGGACCAACACAGGTGACTATACTATTCACTTAGCTTTTATTAATGCAGATTCAACCCAAATCCGTAATAACCCAATAACAATAATAACCACTCAGAAATAATCAGCAATAACATCACACAAGAGAACTGGGGGATAACAAACCTGAGTCCCAAGAGTCCAGATCAGGTCCCTGTCCAGGGGGTCAGCATCTAGGAAGGCAGAGTCTACCATGGCTTCAGGTCAGCTAGAGCAGTGTTGATCAGAGCAGCAGAGCTGCTCAGCCATCTCAGCCATCTCAGCTCCTCTCTGCTGTCTCAGCTGTGCGTTCCAAGGTTTTCACTTTCATACTATTGTAGGATGCAATGTTGCATCAGCCTCTGATTAACACATAGTGTTTTGTGCTACCTCAATAAGCACATGTTGATTATATCGCTCTACTGAGTGTGCTCTGAGAGGGTGGCATTATCCTTTCAGATAAGCACCTGTTCCCTACCACGTTGTACTGCACCTGCTGGAGAGGTTTCATCATCCCTCTGAGTCATTGCTCTACTGTGCATGCTCTAAATATGGCTTCATAGTTGACAGGACTGACACCATCTTAGTTCAGTCCTGCTCTCCACATTAAGCCAATAGAATCTGTTGATGCAGGAGATGTGGGTCATGAGAGAAAACCAAGCATAAAGAACAACACCAAGTTTTTTGCTTTGAGCAACTGGTAGAATAAAGCTGCCTTCTACTGACACTGCAGAAGAAGTGGTTTGGGGAGAGATATTGAGAGTGGGGTTTGGATGTGAATGCATTTACATTAGAACTATATGTGAAAGATCAATAGAAGATAACACAAGAATTATTTTACCCATACCAACTGATAAGCTCTACCTATAAACACAACTTTAACAGATTATGAGTGATATCTAATAAGAGTTAAGTGTAAATTTCCAATTTCTCCTAACTTCCAAAACAGACAAAAACATAAAACACAAATAGTTATTGGTTAGCTTTAATTGAGAGAATGGTGTCCTTTCTAGTTCAGGATAATCCTTACTTTGCTGCATCCAAATTCTGAAGCTCTTCCAAGTGTCTGTAGCCAGTTTTCAAAACACTTGCCAGGACTAAAATTTGAGCTATTGAGCTGGGGTCACTGTTGATTCACAATCATTCAACCATGAATTCTGGAGTATTTGAACACAGTCACTGACAATAGAAACATTTAACTTTATTAGCTTTGGAGTCAAACTTACCTGAGTTCAGATGCTGACTTGCTGTGGTCAGTTGCTTAAGCAATTAAATTAAACTTCTGTAAACCTGAATTTCTCCATCTGAAAATAGGGGGAGCATAGTAATAAGCAAAATTTTCTTTGAATGATTGATACAAGTGTTATTCTAGATGTAGTACATTGATTCATTTAATGTTTACAAGAATGCTACTCTGTAGATACTGCTTTTATCGTCCTGATTTTAGTGATGAGACATAAAGCAGTTAAGTGACTTGGTTAGGGTCACTTAGCTAGCAAGTATTAAAAGGCAGAATTTGTAATTAAACAATCTGACTCCGAAGTGAGGTTTGAAAACCATGGCATTATACTGTCTCATAAAGTCAGCATAAATATTAAATTGACAAATATCCACAAGGTGCTTAGTCCAGTATCTAATTCTAAATTAAATGATAAATAAATAATATCTATCCATCCCAGCCAGTCTTCCTGTTATGAAATAATCTGGTATTCAGATAACATCCTTCTCTACCTCCTTCTGTCCTGTTTTCCTGCCATATCTTCCTCTAGGACTGATTTGACAAGGGGAAAAAAAGTAGGGAAAAAATAGTAGAATTGAAGTTTAAGAGGTATTCTCTAGGCATCATAAATATTAATGACCAGAATTTCATCAAAGCGCAAAGGATTCAGGTGATACGGAAACAGACTAACAAGGACATGAGAATAAAGGAGACAACAAGAAAGAGTGTTGTAAGACTGAACAACAACAAAAGCTATAGGAAGGGTAGATGTGAATAGCACAAAAATGCCTGTTTTGACATTCCTTTAAGGCAAGGAGTAATCAGGAGTTTCTGTAACAATAAGTTATGAAGTGTTTTAAGGTTGTACATTGTAACATAGTATTAACTTTATACTTTTGAAAGATCAGTTAGAAAATGTTGATTTTTTATCGATATTATTGTAGTTTCAGACATTGCTTTTCTTTGTTTTTCATTTTCCAAAAAAACTTTAGTGTGTATGAAAGAGATCTCACCTTTATTTAAGTCATGGGATAGCATCTAATTTTATGTAGATGAAGTTGTGTTCTACAAGAGAAACTTCATAGAATTTTAAGAGAAAAAAAAGTTGATATAACTACTAGCCCTACTGAGGAGTAACTGGCAGTGGCTAAATATATATGCTCCCAAAGCTAAAATGAATTCAAAGCTAAAAAAATTTAACTTGAGCTTTAAATTTAGAACCTACAATTGACAAAAGCAAAAAACAAAAAGCAAAAAAAACAGCCTATTCTGAATGGAGGGTTGTGGAGAAAAAACTCCAGGGGAGAAACAGTGACACTGTTCAAACTCTGTGAAGCGGAAGTGCTACTTCTAACCTCTTGTAGCTTGTTCCCTGGGTTGGGCTTGAGCTTCAAAAATTCAACATACATTTTCTAAAGCTGTTGTGTAATAAATAGTTTTGCTTTAAATTTCTTAGGAATCAATAAACAAAGTTAAAGATCGGGGTTCTGTAAAAAAAGGTTATCTATCCTCACAGCATATTGATTTAACTAGAAAACAACACAAAGTAAAACGAAAGTAGGAAGCAATACAAAAGGGCAAGAAATGGATACTTGAATTTTCCCCAAGTTCTTGGTTCATGGTGCAAGTACAGATATTTCCACCAATGCTGCGCTCGCCCAGCTTTCCTGGGCTAGGCTGACTTTGCTCCTCAAATATATTTCTAGAGAAAAGTGCCTCATGGAACTTGTTTCACTTTGTGGTGGCTTTCTAAATTTCTTACCCTTAACTTGAGGAAGAACAATCATTAAAAATATTAGCTAATTAGGAACTTACAGTTTTCCACTATTGTACCCTCATTCAAGAATAAGAATTTGTTTCTTTGTTTTGTTTTGTTCTGGTCTGTTTCTTGAACCCCCTACCCATCTTCTCTATACTTGTGCTCTAGGACCAGTTGCTTTGGTATACATTTTTTTCAAAGCTTAGCATTGTAGGTAATCTTTTAATCCACTGTCCCAAATTATTCTTAAAACTATTGGGTAACACATTCCTCTGTATCATCTTAAGCAGTTAGACATAAACATATAAAACATATATATTTTTTCTTCTGGCCAAAATGGAGGCATAGGTAGACATACCGTGCCTCCTCACACAACCAAAAGAAGGACAACGACTATTTAAAAACAAAAAACAACCAGCACTGACAGGAAATTGAACTGTATGGAAGTCTGACAACCAAGGACTTAAAGAAGAAATATTCATCTAGACGGGTAGGAGGGGCAGAGATAGGCAGCCAAGGCAGAGAAGGCTCGCAGCAGAGCCAGGGCTGGCAGACCCAGCCAGGCAGTGGATTGTGGAGGGGCGTGGAGCCCAAGGCAGCTGGCTGACTGGAAGGTCCCACATTCTCCTGCAGATAAACCAGGTGAAACTGGGGAGCAAGACAGACTGCACAACCCAGGGTTGCGTTCCCAGCATTCTGGTGCAAGGAAATAAAGCCTCAAAACACTGAATGAAAACACCTGTGGGGGTTGAGGTGGCAGGAGAGACTCTCAGCCTCACAGGAGAGTTTGTTGGAGAGATCCACAGAGTCCTAGAATGTACACAAACCCACCCAACTGGGAACCAGCACCAGAAGGACCCAATTTGCTTGTGGGTAGTGAGTAAGTGACTGAAATCTGGCAGAGAGTGGAGCAAGTGCCATTGTTCCCTCTGGGACCTCTTCCCCACATACAGCTTCACAACCCAGCAACGTGGGTTGCCCTGCCTGGGTGAACACCTAAGGCTCCACCCCTCACTACATAACAGGTGCTTCAAGACAAAAAAAATGTCCCAAATGAAAGAACAGATCAAAGCTCCAGAAAAAATACAACTAAGTGATGAAGAGGTAGCCAATCTACTAGAGGCACAGTTCAAAACACTGGTAATCAGGATGCTCACAGAATTGGTTGAATCTGGTCACAAATTAGATGAAAAAATGAAGGTGATGCTAATTGAAATAAAAGAACATGTACAGGGAAACAATAGTGATAGGAAGAAAACCAGGACTCAAATCAACGATGTGGACCAGAAGGAAGAAAGAAACATTCAATCAGAAAAGAATGAAGAAATGAGAATTCAAAAAAAATGAGGAGAGGCTTAGGAACCTTCAGGACATCTTTAAACTTTTCAACATCTGAATTATAGGGGTACCAGAAGGAGAAGAAGAAGAGCAATAAGTGGAAAACTTATTTCAAAAAATAATAAAGAAGAACTTCCCTAATCTGGCAAAGGAAATAGTCTTCCAGAAAGTCCAGGAAGCTCAGAGAGTCCCAAAGAAGGTGGACCCAAGGAAGAATACACCATGGCACATCATAATTACATTAGCCAAGATTAAAATGAAGGAGAGAATTCTAGAAGCAGCAAGAGATAAGGGGACAGTCACCTACAAAGGAGTTCCCATCAGACTGTCAGCTGATTTCTCAAAAGAGATCTTACAGGCAAGAAGGGGCTGGAAAGAAGTATTCCAAGTCATGAAAGTTAAGGACCTACACCCAAGATTGCTCTATCCAGCAAAGCAATCATTTAGAATAGAAGGACAGATAACGTGCTTCTCAGATAAAGTCAAGTTGAAGGAGTTTATCATCACCAAGCCCTTATTATATGAAATGTTAAGGGGACTTATCTAAGAAAAAGAAAATAAAAAACATAAACAGTAAAATGACAGCAATCTTACAATTATTAACAACCATACCTAAAACAAAAACGAACTAAGTGAACAAGTAGAACAGGAACAGAACCACAGAAATGGAGATCACATGGAGGGTTATGAACAGGGGAGTGGGAGGAGGACTGAGTGGGAAAAGGTACAGAGAATAAGTAGCATAGATGGTAAGTAGAAAATAGACAGGGGGAGGGTAAGAATAGTATGGGAAATATAGAAGCCAAAGAACTTATAAGTATGACCCATGGACATGAACTAAAGGGGGGGAATGTGGGTGGGAGGGGGTGTGCAGGGTACAGAGGAGTGAAGAGGGGGAAATGGGACAATTGTAATAGCATAATCAATATAATATATTAAAAAACAAATAAAAATT